TATTCTTTTTTTTTCAATACTACTAAAAAAACAAACATTCTTGATAATGGTTTATGATTGAGAAAATTGTAAAAACACCTTAATATTTCCCACTATATATACTTCAATTTCGATAGCCTCGTGAAACAGAAAGAAAAAAAGAAAAAAGATATTTGAAATGTGAGTGCTGACGCGGCAAATCGGGTATAAGTATATATCCAGCTTAGCCAAAACATGTGATTGGATGATTAATATTAAAACATGATTAGGTTTTTTAATTATTGATTGATTGATAGATCAAAGCTATTTTAGTTTAAATGAGTTTCCAACCACTATCTCATCCTCTTAAAATATAAGGGCATCCTCAATGGGGAATCACATTTGGGTGTTTTTAGAGTAAAAATATTGTTAAAATAATGTAAGATCAGTAATTTAGATCTTTTGTTAAAAAGTTGGTTATTGGGAGAACATGTTTAAGATCATAAGATTTAATAATATAATAATCAAAAACTTTTTAAACATATTACATTTATAAAAACTTATAAAAATTACATTTAAATTGCAAACTTAAAAAACTTATACTAAAATTCAAAATATAATACCAAATATTTAAGAAAAAAAAATGAACCAAAAAAAATTAAATCGAATCTGTTGTTTCCTTTCCCAATTTTTTTTATACTAAAATTCAAAATACAATACCAAAGAACCGGACTTAAACCGAAAAAAGTAAACTTGTGAATAATGATAAAAAAATTAGTCATTTTATGAACAAATAAAAAAAAAGGAAGTTTCCTAGAATGTAAAGATAAGCGGTGAAACAAATACTATATTTCTCTTTTTGAAATAAAGTTACTATAATAGAAGAGAGACTCACAAAAATGCCCCTTTTTCAATACCCCTTTTCAAAAATGCCCACATTGGCTGTCCATTTTTAAAAATACCCCTTTTTATGTACAAAATGACTAAATTACCCTTCTTTTAATAAAAGATATCACAAATATATAAGGAAATATAACAAAATTAGGTCCACAAAATACAAAATATTTTTTGGCGTGAAAAGTGATCCCTCAATTTTTCCCGCCAAAACACTTGTAAAAAACCTTTAAAATACCTTGTAAAATTTTCCCGTAAAATTTTTTCCCGCCAAAAAATTTTCCCGCCAAAAAAATTTTTTTGCGGGAAAAGTGATTCCGTAATTTTTTTGGCGTTAAATTTTTGGCGGGAAAAATTTACAAGGTATTTTAAAGGTTTTTTACAGGGTATTTATAAGGTTTTACAATGTATTTTAAAAGGTTTTACAACATATTTATAAGGTATTTATAAGATATTATAAGATTTTACAAGCTATTTTATAAGGTTTTACAAGTTATAAGATTTTACAAGTTTTTTATAAGGTTTTACAAGTTTTTTACAAGTTATAAATTCCTTATAAAACTTTATAAGTACCTTGTAAAACCTTTTAAAATACATTGTAAAACCTTACAAAACCCTTGTAAATACTTCGTAAAACCTTTAAAATACCTTGTAAATTTTTCCCGCCAAAAATATTCCCGCCAAAAAAATTTCGCCAAAAAAATTGCGGAATCACTTTTCCCGCAAAAAAAATTTTTTGGCGGGAAAATTTTTTGGCGGGAAAAATTTTTACGGAAAAATTTTACAAGGTATTTTAAAGGTTTTTTACAAGTGTTTTGGCGGGAAAATTGCGGGATCACTTTTCCTGCCAAAAAATATTTTGTATTTTGTGGACCTAATTTTGTTTCAAATAAAGGTAAAATGGTCATTAAAAATTAAAAGAGGGCAAACTTAAAAATGGACTCTCAAAGGGGGCATTTTTGAAATGGAGTATTGAAAAAGGGGCATTTTTAACAATTTCTCATAATAGAAAGAAAAATACAGTCATTTATTAATCTTTAACGAACAACACTCTTTTTATTAACTGACAAAAGGACAAAAAAAAATCTCAAAAAATGAATCTGTTGTTTCCTTTCCTAATTTTTCCAACCAATCCCGAAATGACACGTCACCCCGCAACACCCACAAGAACAGATCCAGGGACTAGAGCCCAGTTCCTGATCTTAAGTCCATTAGCCCATTTTTTTGGATTAAAAAACTGCTAAGAACATGGGGGTGGTCCGGCGTTGCAGATGACCTAATAAATTTGGAAAAATGCTCTATTTATAAGTTTTTATTTAAAAATTACCCTATCCTTTTATTTCTTTCAAAAATTATTTTAATATATAAAATTACAAAAATAATGTCAGTAAAATTTAATAATAATTAATAATAATTTATACTTAAAACATAAAAATACACTGTCCAAGCTTGAGGCCACACTTGGCCAAATAAAAATAGACATGGCGAGCAAGTCTGCTCTTCATCATTACACGAAACAATTTATGGACACTAAAACCTCCTTGACCAAAGGATTTGCAGATGTAAAGAAACTTGGAGTTCAAACATCTCCTCCTGCCATCTCCCAATTTCTTTATGAAGACCTTATCAAAGACATCGAATATGTCAAAAACAACATGGTGCAATCAGGCGACCTTAGTAACCTTTCTAAGCAGATTAAAGGCGAGGATTATATAATTGTATCGAGGATTTGGAGGGGAGGCAGCAAGTGCTGCGGGCGGAGCAGCAAGCACTCATAGTGGAGGTTGTCCCCCACGTGCACGGAGAAACTAGAAGAGTCCGTCGACTTTTTTGATTTTTATAAGGTTTAAATTAGTGTTTGTAGACGCAAAGTAGTGTGTTTTAATGCATGAATTTGGCTTTGTTTAGTAGAGATCTAATCCGATACTTACTAGAGTCCTATTTTTTTGTTTATAATCTAATTTCATTCTATTGGATAGACGGAATATTAGTTACATTATATATATATATATATATATATATGACATAAACTAGATTTATTTACATAAATTAGAATAGTGGATGTAAAACGTTTTCTTAATAGTTTACTCTATAAACATCAAATGCTACTTTTCGTACGTCTTTTCAAAACATTTTATTCATTTTTATTAGTTTATTTTCTAAACTTTTCATTATTATAAATCACCTAAGAATTTTTTGATGAAAATGCTCTATTGTTTCCATTTCAGAAATATGTGGTGCATGTAGCTAAATCAAAAGAATTGAGTTGATTTCTTTGTTGATTAAAATATTCTTAATTTTTTGACGTAATAATCATTTAAAAATTCTATAACTAACCTTATTTGAGTTAGCACAATTGTGTGTGATCTATCAAGAAATAATATCAATACTGTCTAATTGAAGCTAAAATACGAAAATATACTCTATAGTTAGTTTTTTTTTCTTTTCCAGAGTAACCTCCATATCAAAAATGAACTTGAGTTTTAGATATATTGACGTTGAGACATTACATATAACTTGTTTTGTGACATATTTTTATAATCTCACTTGATATAATTCAAGGAGAAAATTACTCAAAAAATGTACTAAAATACCAATAATATAAAACAAAAATAGTGAATTCTTAAGAAGTATAGAGATGACTAATGTATATATATAATTTTGTTTTAAATTATACTTTATTATGATGGAAACCGAAATAAAAAATAACGTTGTGTCACCATAATTCTTGAATTATTGTATGTCAAAAGCGACTCATTTCCGAAAAATTACACATCTAATTGAAAAATCAAGTTTAGTGTTTTGTCAACGGACTAGTTTATATATAAATCCACATTTTGATATCTTGATGATGTGATTCATATTTTGACTTTATACAGAAAATTTAACTAAACACAAAACAAAAGTGGAAGACATCTGGTTTTCTAGGGTTAAATATGATAATGTAAAAAAGTACGTCATACGTACAACGAAAGGACGAATCAAAACAAGGAAGCCAACTCATTGATTGATTAAATTTCTGTTTGTAATCACTAATTAATTAATTAATTAAAACAAACACTCCAAGTCCAAAGATTTTAATCACAACAATATTCCTGCTGTACCGCTTAGCTTTCTCGAAAGCCACTTTTTTGGGTGATTTTTGTTTCGACTGTTATTTCTTTTTACTCCAATAATCTATTCAGACATAAGTAATTACTTTTGAAATATTTGTTGACTAAACGTGTCCAAAGATTGAATAATCCACATCCTAAACATTAGAAATAAGAAATTGAATTGGAAGAAAAAAATGTTTTTTTTTTTTAACTCTCCACTAGGAGATGAAAAAACTCTATGATGTAGGGTATTTATTATAAACGGATAATTTACAAGTTTTTTGAGATGTACTATATATATACTGGTGAAGATTACGCAGTATAAAACTTTAATCAATGAATGTTATATTATTTTGTACAGTACGTTTTTTCAAAACGTTTAAAGTTGATTATGTGATTCTTCACCATTATGTTTTCACGGTTTTAGATATAATTAGGCTTTTGCTAAACACAAAAACTGTGTCAAAATAAAAGTAGAACACCCTAAACACCATTCATCTGCTAAAATCAGTTTTAGTGATATTTTATGATGATTTTGATTTTTGCATTGCAAAAACTCTATTAAGCTTAAGTGTTTTTACTATTCAATCATCTATCTGTTTTTAACTACAAAGACAGAGCTTTCATATGTGGCATAACTCATTGCCACAAATGCTCACCTAAAATCATATCTCTCTGTATTTTTTTTCTGGCTAACCTTGATTAGAGAATTTGCGATGGACCTACTTAAGTTGATATATACTCATCGTGATTTAGCCCTAATTGTGCATATAGTGTAGAGAATAAACCCCTCTAGACAAACTTATGTCTTTCATTCATCAATTAAGTTATCGAAAATCTAGTGTTATTGATTATAATGTTTGTAACTCATAAAATATTAAGTTATCAAACTACAACAATTTATCAAATATCAAATCATTTAAAATGTTATGATTGAATACATTCCAATTCCATTGTTGGTCTCCATACTAAGAAATGAGAAACTAAATAAATCACAAATTGATCATAATCATGACTTCCATAAGCTTAAGCAATATTAAAAATCAGTATATATACAAAAAAATCTCAAAAACCACACACCGAAACCAGCAGAATCTGTCATTATAAAGCCAAAAATAGCTTCAAAGTACACAATAAGATATCATACTACTAATTAAGTTTAATTATTCCAACTCGAACCAGCAATCTAACCGACGAAAGCCAACTTATATAATAATGTTTTAGGGCTTATTTGAAACATTGGTCAGTCCAGAGAGATTCACAAAAGGTATTAACTAGATCACTTCCACTTCTTGAACTTGCCTCCTCCAAACATTCCATGCTTCCCATGCTTGAACTTCCCGTGCTTCCCATGCTTAAACTTACCATGACCATAGCCATAGCCATGTCCATGGCCAAAGCCGTGACCGTATGCAGCATGTCCGTAAGGGGCGTGAGAGCTATGAGCTATGTGGTGAGCTCCATAGGCAGCTGCAGCACCTGCAATCATACCCCCAATTCCTCCTGCGTGTCCTGTAACAAGTATAAAGGTAAACTGCATGAAGAAAAAAACCCAAGGAAAAAACAATTTATAGTGCATATTAGAGTCAGCGAAGTTGTCTTTATGATACTCACATCAATAAAAAGGATTAGTAGTACGTATCAAATTACCAAACATTGAATTGAATGGTTCTATACATGAGAACACTTAACATGTTCACTCTTTGGACAACTAAAATATAACCAATTTGTCATAAAACCTTTGATAGAGAAGTCACCGGTGCTTTAGCCAATTGACTAGGCATTCCCACTATCGACAATGTAATCTCAGCAATCCTTTGTTTCAACTTCTTTCTAAAGTGACATTTAACAACCAATATGATACTAAATCTCAGATTTTCGCAAGGAACATGTAGACAAATACTCTGTTCTATCTACCTTCTATGATTTAATCTTTGTAAAGTGAAATTTACGATACTGCTAATTAAACTACAACGGAGAAGATAAAACATTAGCAAAAGAAACTCAGTACCTGAGTGATGAGCAGGATAGCCAGCAGGAGGGTAACCACCATGACCAGGTGCAGGAGGATAACCTCCATAACCAGGAGCTGGAGGATAACCACCATAACCAGGGGCTGGAGGATAACCACCAGGTGCAGGTGGGTATGCACCCGGAGGATAACCAGCAGGCGGGTAAGCACCAGGTGGTGGAGGGTAACCTTGTTGTGGGTATCCAGCAGGTGGATAAGCCCCAAGACCCGGCGGGTATCCAGCGGGAGGATACCCATGAAACCCTTTGTCTTTGTCATTGTCATTATCACCTCCCATGTTTTCTCAATCAGCAACAAAACCTACAAAAAGACATCCCAAAAAACATCAATTTAGGGCAAACCAAGAATGAAATTCAAGCTCAGGGGGTCATACAGACACACCAAATTCAAGTAATGACCTAACCAAGCAATGTAATTAATCACTGATTAGTAGGAGGTCACAGATCAATGTTATTAATCCCAATCAAATTGCATAAACCAATCATTAACTTAAAGATTTAGTGGATCAAGCAGACATAATTAGATGATACATAAACCAGTAAATCAATAACAGGACAAAGGCTAATCAAAGATCTCGACTTTAAGAACCTAAGCATAGGAAAGTTCTAAACTTTATTACTCAGACCTCGAGAGAGCCAAACGAATTAAACGAAGATGAACAATAAAACCCAGTTCGCTGAATAAAAAACCTCAATTCATAATATTTTTTGTTAAACTCGTACTATATTCCCATACACATGGATCAAAACAAACAAAAAATCAAAAAAATTCTAGGTTTTCAGCAAAATACGATTTTTTAATCAATACGATCGAATCAAGAGAGAAGACAAGTTCGAAATACACGAACCAAACAAAGGAATCTCTGATCTAACGATCTAAAAGAGAAAAAAGATGAGAGCTTTTTTTTCACCAGACACGAATCGCGAAATATGTCGAAACAAAATTGGTAGAGAGAAAAATAAGACCTTGGAGATATTTATACATGTTTTCTTACGCGGTACGATTTCCAAAAAAGGTATATATTTATTTTTAGTCCTTGTATTTTACTATCAATCACAAACTGACACTTGAGTTTTCATAATTGACAAAGGTATCCAAATTTTGAACACGAAGAACGACAAATGTAACACTACCAATGTTTTGCTTATAGATTGAATATTTTCTTGAAATTTTGTTTGTTGTTTTTAATACAATTTACTAATTTAGAACGAGTCTTAATCTCTCGTGGGGGTGTTTATGAAATATATTAAACTATGGGGGCAAAGGAGAGAAATATGAGAACATTTTCCAACGTAAATCTTTAGCGTTACAAGAACGCGCAATGGACGCGTGATTCTATTTACGTAGGGGATATATAATGTCTTTTAATTTGCACTTTTGCAAAAGAATCGAATCTACAGAAAATCCTTATTAAAACATTTTTTATTTTATTAGTACTTTTTTGATTTTTAGGCAATGTGTATAATGATTTATTAAAGAAAAATATCCTAAAAATAAATATTTTTTCTAGTTATGGTTATGTTAATCTAACTAAATACTAAGATTTTCTAAAACCATTCATACTTTATACTTATCTATAAAATCAAAAATTTATTACTATCACTTCATTTTCATTCAAACACATCACTGGTGATAATTGATGTATAGTTTTATAGAATATAAAATTGTTATAAACTTCATTTTGAACTTCTATCTATTTGACATCATAAATCAGTTCTAAGCAGAACAAATTTGTAAGATGATTTAAATGAACAAAGAATGGCTATAGGAATTAATGAGCAAACCAATATCCGGAACAAATTACTAGTAGTTATCAATAGGGTTTACTGATAAAGTTGGAACTTAATTACTAGGTGTAACACTTTTTTAAAGACAATAGAGTAGATAGATCACAGACAATGATAATATGTATATAAGTTACAAAGCTGACTATTAAAAACAAGAGCTACATTTGATTCATTGAATTCCATCCATAGAACACAAGCAGAATCAGGTGAGAGAGAGAGAGATAAGACCTTACAGAAAGTAGGCCTTATGAAATTGGACAAAAGGCTGAGACTTTTGCTCAGCAGAACCTCAGGGTACGTTCCAATTCCTGCTCATCATCGCAGTTGTAGCCAAGTTCAAAAGCTCGTGCTGCGATGAAAAGAAGACGCAAACCGTTCACTTATATGTTGAAAAATTTAAGAATATATGGAAAAGGAGGTGTGTGAGAGAGAGATAGATAGATAAGTACCCAATCGACTTTTATCCATGAATACTTCAGCTTCTAGTTCAGCTTCTTCTTCATAACACCCATCTGCGTCTGGATCAGTTTGTACGAGCAAAGTATCAGAACAAAGTCCTGAGATAGTACACACCATGAGGTCTTCCTCTGGACTCAGTATTACTTCCTTGCAGTTATCATCGCATACTGTTATAAAACCCAATAAAAACTACGTAAGTTTCAACAAAACACAAGTAACAAATTTTCAATATTACAGCATTTCAATTCATACCATGAACATTTCCCGTCTCTTTGCATATGAACACGTCGTCAATCTGATGGTATGAACATTTGGTTCCCAAACAAATATGGCCAGTGACAGCCTTATCGGTAAGTCCTTTGCTTTTCTTCCACAGAGATACTTGTTCAAGTACAGTTTTGTCAAGAATTATCCGGTCATCCACCATCTAAACATTGCAAGCAAGAACATGAGTAAATTCGTCAAGTGATGATTCGTGCTTAAACATAAACAGAGAATTAGAAATAGTTACCTGGGACGGAAGAGGTGCTTGGCTTCTCTTTGCTGCTTGCATTTGCATGTAATACTCTTTAAAATCCGAAGGACAGGTTCTGACAAGTTCAATCATGTCCTGCTCGTCACGCTAATATTCGACAAGAAAAAGGAATCACTATATGATCTGACCTCTAATAGCAACTCCAGCTAACATTGTATACTCTTCAACAATGTAATATTACTTGGAAATAACTAACAAGTTTATAAGGAAAACCAAGTGAGAAACTCACATCAATATAAAGCTTCTTCCAAGCACTTTCACGTAACTTTCTAGTTGGAGGAGTTAGACCCCACCGGATACAGTAGCTGCAGATATAAAAAAAAAAAAAACACAATCAATAACCGTATCACATCGTTTTTGAGTACAAAGTATTGATTTTGAAAACACCATTATCCACTACAATAAGGAATATGAGAAGAGTCTTACAGGCGACGCCATAAGGATTCATCAGCCGCAGCAAAATTGAGAAATTTACACACCAAGGAGCATGATACAAGATCCTGTAATGACATTCAAACAGTTTAGATTAAGATTAATCCTCAAAGATCATGACTACACAATAAAATTTGAGTCTGAAGTATATATATACCTCAGAAGATAAGAACTTGAGGATATGACGAAACAGCTCAGTAGGAACATTACTGAAAACTCCACTCTCTATTCTCTTTTCACCAGTTCTATCTTTGTTACCATCTTCCTTTTGATCTTCATCATCCTTCTCTAGAGCCTTTGTTTCGGCTTTCTCAATACGTTGCCGTTTCGCTTCAGGTTCTTTCGTTTCTTCTTTATCCTCTACCTACAAAAACCAAAGCATCAATAAAACTTTAACCTTTCACATGAAAATGTTGAACAAGAGCTAAATCATCAATTCACAATGCATGTAAGATCGACCAAATCCAAATTCGATCAAACAAATCAATTATGAATTACACGAAAAAAATCCAATTTATATAATCTAATAAGTTGTCGAAAATCTCACAAAATGAGATTTTTTTTAGGGAAAATAAAAAATTTCGATAGGGTTTCAGATTCAACGATAAATTCCAAAAGATTGTCGGGGGAAAAAAAAAAAACACTAAACCCTAAATGAAATCGAAGAATTGAATAAACGAAGAAACCAATTACCGATGAGACTTCTGATTCGAGGAATCGAGCGAAACACTCATCTTCCTCATCGGAAACAGACATATTGTTCAGTCGGTAAAGATCAAAGCTCGGGCGACGATGGTTGCGTTTATGCGGCCAAGGAAGGGATTAGAGAGAGAGAGAGACGAGAGGGTTGGCGATGGGAATCGGTGGCGTGAGATTCGAGACGAACTCAGGCAGAATGATTTTGATAAATGGGCCGAATAACCTAAATGGGCTATATATAATAATAAGCCCATAACCCTAACCCTCCTCCTTTATCGTTAAAGTTAACGTCATTAATCCAAATTAACTTTCTAAACGTGATTAAAATACCGACATTTTTTAGAATTATTAACGACGTTATTCGGGCCAAATTAACTTTTTTTTTTCTCTAGATTTATTAGTTATTACTCATAGACGTCGTTAATAATTTGTTTTCTCTATAACTGTTACGTCGTTGAGTAATAACTAGATTTATTAGTTATTACTCAACGACGTCATTAATCCAGATTTATTCGAACTCCAGACCTTTAGACGTAAAAACATTAATTAACTCTTGATCAACCAATAGACCAATGGGACTTCCACATTACTATATCATTTGATAAAAATTGAAGTAATTAAGAAATTATCATTTTACCATCCACTAATCTACATAACAAAGACATATTTTACCAACCTCAGTATTAAACTGTAAATATATATTACACTTTCTTTTGTGTGGAAATATTTCAGAATTTTCATTTTTTAAAAGTAGGATATATGAACATATTTAACAAATGTGCGATAGGCTTTAATGTATAGATTAAGAAAATAATCTGGCTATTTTTTTTTGTATTAACTTTAAAAAAACATAGTTAACAAATTGAAGAAGACCAACGACTACAAAGACCAGAGAAGATAGAATTATTACAAAGCAAATCAAAGGATCTCAATTTCTTCTTAGTCAACAGGTGTTTCTTCTCTTCTTCTTCTTCGATTCGGAGGTAGAGAAGAAACATGGCAGCTCCGGCGATAGTTAACGGCGGCGATGCGACGGAGAGAGAAACACGAATGGCTCACTCTGCAATGACATTGGTTCAGGTCATAAATGGAGGTTACCATGTGATTACGAAAGTAGCTCTTAACGTTGGTGTTAATCAGCTCGTCTTTTGTGTCTTTCGCGATCTTCTTGCTCTCTCAATTCTCGCACCTCTCGCTTTTTTCCGTGAAAGGTTCTATTTTTTTCCAAAATCTTTCTGTTTCTTTCTCAATTTGCTTGAATTGTTTGAATCTGTGAAGTGTCTTCTGGTTCTGAATCACATTTTTATTTGGTCAATGCAATTTCTGATTGATTTGGTGAGTTTATATGCGGCAAAATCAACATATATCTTGATCATTCTTGAATTGGAGTTAGGGTTTTTATTCTCTTACTCTCTTGATCAAGATTTGGCAAAATATTGTCTTTTGATCAAGATTTGCCAAAAATTTTATTTTGAGCAAGAATTGCCAAAATGTTGTCTTTTGATCAAGATATGGGAAAATTTGTCTTTTGACCAAGATTTGCCAAAATGTTGTCTTTTGATCAAGATTTGCTCTTTTAAATCTTGTAGAAGAATCAGACCTCCTATGAATAGAAGCGTGTTCTTTTCACTCTTCTTTCTTGGTTTAGCAGGGTAAGTGTAATCAGCTCTGATATCGTAATCTTTAAAATCATGTTTATGAAAAAGGTTCTAATACCATTCAAACTCAATCTTGATAGGATATTTGGGAACCAATTACTATTTCTTATGGGTTTATCGTACACGAATCCAACTTATGCCGCAGCTATACAACCGTCAATCCCAGTCTTTACATTTATTTTGGCTGTGATGATGGGGTGAGTATGATTTTCTTCAACATTACTGTAAAATGTGAAATTTGTATTTTCAGTCATTTGATAGTCTTCTTCTTTGTATGCAGTACAGAAAAAGTGAACTTGTTTAAAATCGAGGGCCAAACGAAAGTTGGAGGTACTCTTGTTTGTGTTTCGGGTGCCATAGCGATGGCTTTGTTCCGTGGTCCAGCCTTGTTTGGAGGTAAAGATGCAGTAGATTCAGTGAAAAGTGTAATAATTGATAGAAGTCAACCAGAGCCTAATGGGTGGTTAATCTCTAGTTTTCTTGGGTTTGGGTTTGATCTATGGCACATTGGAGTTATATGCTTGATAGGAAATTGTATGTGTATGGCTGCTTTTCTCGCTGTCCAAGCACCGGTTTTGAAGAAGTATCCTGCCTACCTTTCGGTTGCTGCGTATTCATACTTCTTCGGTGCATCAATAATGATCACAACAGCTATCTTGTTTGTTAGAGAGCCTAAAGATTGGAGCTTAACACAATCTGAAGTTCTTGCTGTTATATTCGCAGTAAGTTTTCACAACCGAGATGTAGCATGTTTTTTTCGGTTTGTTTGATACAAAAGATTGGAGATTTGGAACTTGGAACTCAAAGAGATTGGAGCTCGGTATATACGGATTCACCTAACTAGTTTGTGTTATTATTCTTTTCGGTTTTTGTTCCTCAGGGAGTGTTTGCGTCAGCTCTAAACTATGGACTCTTGACTTGGTCGAATAAAATTCTTGGAGCTGCTTTGGTTTCTCTATACAATCCTCTTCAGCCTGCAACATCCGCCTTTTTATCAACGATTTTCCTCGGCAGCCCGATCTATCTCGGAAGGTCTTTAAATTTTACACACAAACAAACTTCTTCTTCTTGTATTGGATCATATAAAAACTTTGAATTTTCGTTCTCTGCGCAGCATTTTGGGCGGAATCCTCATCATTTGCGGGCTTTATATGGTTACTTGGGCATCTTATAGAGAACAACAAACAACAGTATCTGGGAATGAGATTGCTTCTTCTAGTGGTGTAAGAATCTCAGAACCTTTGATTTACAGAGATGAGACTGGTAAATAAATTAAGAACAGGTAAAGAAAAGGATAGTTGTAGTTAATGTCGGACAAAAACAAATCATACAATTTTTTCGAGTTCAAACATTGATTCTATAAACGATAAACAATTCAAAATAAAACTTCTCCCTCTTTTTTGGTAGCGCAACTTCAACTATGGAAAAAAAGATGTCTAGATTAGATAAGACTGGGTGGTTTCATAACATCAAATTGCTAGGTAAACCTGCCATATATTTTAAACTCAAATTTAGATAAAAGGAATCAAGAACAGTGGCCAAATTCGATGACTGGAAATGAATATAGCAAAATACCAAAAGGTAAGGAGCAAATGCGTTGATACCAAAATATGTGGGGGCAAAACCGTAAATACCAAAAGATGTGGGGCAACATTGTAAATACCAAAGATGTGTAGCAAATTCGTAAATACCCAATGATGTGGGGCAAACTCGTAATACAAAAAGATGTGAGGTAAAATTGTAAATACAAAAAGATGTGAGGTAAAATTGTAAATACAAAAAGATGGGGGGGGGGGCTGATTCTTAAATATCAAAAGATGTGAGGCAAGTTCTTAAATACCAAAAGATGAGAGGCAAATTCGTAAATAACCAAATATCTGGGGCAAATTAATACCGAAAGATAAAGGGAAAATTTGAAAATACCAAAAGATGTGAGGCAAATCGTAAATACCAAAAGATGGGGGCAAAATTGTAAATACCAAAAGATGGGGGAAAAAATCGTAAAAAGCAAAAGATATGGGGCAAATCGTAAATACTAAAAGATGTGGGGAAAAATCGTAAATATCAAAAATTTTGGGCGAATTCGTAAATATCAAAATATGTGGGGCACAATCGTATATATTAAAAGATGTGGGGCAAAATCGTAAATAGTCAAAGCTATGAGGCAAATTTGTAAATAGCAAAAGATATGTGGCAAATTTTGTAAATACCAAAAGATAAGGGGTGAATTCGTAAATATATAAAACTTATGGGCAAACCCTAAATAGCAAACGTTTTGTGACAATGAAGTCATAAATTTGTCAAACGTTTTGGGACAAATAGCAAACGTTTTGTCACAGACATAGACGAGCTCATGAGAATCAAGAATCAATATATATTCTTAATTTATACTATCTTACATCCCACGCATTTCGAGTAACCAAGATAGATGTTTTAGTAGTTAGTGCCAAACTATATTCAGATAATGTCAATTCTGTTTCATCGGTTTTAGATTTCTGAACATATTTCATCAAATATAATTGTTGAAAAAAGTATTAACAAGTAGGTACTGACCTAGTAAAAAAAATGAAAGTTATAACTTATAAGTTTCTTACGAGTACTTAGATCACTGATGACATCATTATTATTCAAGTGGAAGCCATTAAATAGCAAATAAACAAAACTCATTGACTTATTGAAGTACGGAATTATTGACTTTCTCCCATTTCATCACCAATAATGGTAACAATTTCTAAATATTTTAATTTCTGATCATTTGTGTGGGTAGCATCTCTTATACATCTCTTAGGAATTGGTTACTCAACAATAAAAAAAGATTCAATTTCTTTTTTATAAGTTTATAAGATTCCTGTTTTGCTAAATCAAGATTCTTTCTAACTGAAGATTCTTTCTATTAGCTATTAGTTTTATACAAGAGGGAAGAATCTTTCAACTATCACTCCCTACAAATTCCATAAGAAAATTCACTTATCCGATAAAAACTTAAAGAAGAAGAAGAAGAAGAAGAAGAATGGCCACATGTCCTCCTTTCGATTTCTCTGCCAAATATTACGATGGTGACGGCGGCGGATGCCAGAGGCAGAGCAGCTTCTTCGGAGGCACGACGGTGCTCGATCAAGGCGTTGGCTACGCCGTGATTCTTGGTTTTGGTGCTTTCTTTGCCATCTTCACATCTTTTTTGGTTAGTTTCTGTTTCTGAATTACGAATTATTTTCTAATGAAAAGCAAGAAAACTTCTGTGATTTGCTCGTGACCACAAAAAAAAGAGTAGATATATTCTCTTCTATGATTTGTACTACCAATAAAACAAAAGATACTAATTTTCATTGTTTAGTAATACCAGACTAGACGTTGCTTATTCTTTTTTTTTTTGGCTTTTTGTTCTAAAACTTTAAATTATTAAAGTAGATATTAATCGGATTATCTATATAGTATATATCAATCAAGTCTTGATAGAATCTTTTTTGGCCTATTAAGTATGAATATATTATGGCGACCGTGTAGTGTATAACTTTGTGTAGCCAAATTATTTATAAATTATACTCTTATAGTTATATATCTTCTTTTCTTGTATTTTGAAAATTCTGGATGATCAAAAATTATGAAACAAAACAAATACAAGAGTTTGACTTTATAAGAAGAAACAAAAAAAAAAAAAAAACTAATCTAATACTCATCTGAAGACTGAAATAGAGCATAGCATTAAAAACTAATCAAACACACAGTTTCTTAATCTGGTTGAGTGCAATACTTCACTATAGGAGTCTTAAATTCAGTTTTTTCATATCGATTTTGGTTCAGACCATTCAGTATTTTTTTAAATTTTTTTTTTTTGGTTATACAATTATACCAAGCTAAACAGATATATAGTTATTAGATTGGTTTGATTTTGTATTGGAACTGAATTTTAATCAATTGTTCAGTTCAGTTTTTTGAATAGAATATTTTCCTAAGTCCACCATGATCATCCATGATATATTCCTGACTAAATGAATGAAGGTATGGCTAGAAAAACGATATGTGGGAGCTCGTCATACCTCGGAATGGTTCAATACAGCCGGAAGAAACGTTAAGACAGGACTCATTGCAAGTGTCATTGTGTCACAGGTAAGTATAAGACAATTGATGATATAAAGTTATAAAACACTCGATGTTCTTTGATGTATTGATTTAAATATGTTGGTCGATGAGTGAATAGTGGACATGGGCTGCGACCATACTGCAAAGTTCAAACGTAGCATGGCAGTATGGGGTTAGTGGACCGTTTTGGTACGCTAGTGGAGCCACCATACAGGTAATTCCAAAAACAAAAACTATACATTAATATAAATTTTGTTTCTATATGCATAATGAATAATCGATGATGATTGATGAACGAAGTAGGTGCTGTTGTTTGGTGTGATGGCGATTGAGATTAAAAGAAAGGCTCCCAATGCTCACACGGTCTGCGAAATCGTGAAGGCTCGGTATGTAAAACCGAACTAACTCAAATTAAACCAACAATTATTTTTTATTTGCTTAGTCAATATTATTAAATAAATTTAAATATTTATAATACTAATTTTATAAGTATACCTTAAATTTATTTATTTTGGGTTAATTTTCAAATTTGTTGAATAAAAACCCGACTCAATCAAACAAATTAAAATACTTCGTGTACCAAACTAAACAGAATAAGTATTATAAGGGCCAATAAATTTTGGTTTTTTGATAACATTTCCGAAACAGTAGAGCAAATTGCTCGAGCATTAATTTTAGGTTGTTATTAGTTAGATGTTAATTTGTTTTGTATGTTATTGATAAAATTAGTTGGGGAACCGCAACACATATAGTGTTTTTGGTGTTTTGTTTGGCGACAAACGTCATTGTGACGGCGATGCTCTTGCTCGGTGGCTCGGCTGTGGTGAATGCTCTTACCGGAGTGAATCTATACGCTGCAAGCTTTCTTATTCCTCTCGGCGTCGTTGTCTATACTTTGGCCGGAGGACTTAAAGCTACTTTCCTCGCAAGCTACGTTCACTCCGTTATAGGTAAATTACATTTTAATTATATATCTTAAGTATGATATTTTTACGAACAATTATGGCTGAAACTAAAATTATTTCTATATGTAACCGTAAATAATTAATGCTTTGCTACCCTAATACAAAATGAGAGAGACCTTAAAATAAATTGTTGTTTTACTATCTTTGTATGATCATATTCGTTTGTTTTCAGTTCACGTGGCTCTAGTCGTTTTTGTGTTTCTGGTCTACACATCGAGTAGTGAGCTTGGGAGTCCGTCCGTGGTCTATGACCGACTAAGAGATATGGTCGCTAAGTCAAGGTCATGCACCGAGCCGCTCTCGCACCACGATCAAGCTTGCGGTCCGGTGGATGGCAACTACAGAGGCTCCTATCTCACCATGTTGAGCTCTGGCGGCGCTGTCTTTGGTCTCATCAACATTGTCGGAAACTTCGGCACTGTCTTCGTAGACAATGTAAGATGATTTCTTTACAATGAAGTATTTTAGTTTAATTATCTTTTGGTTTTCGTTTTAGTTTTAGTTTTTGCCATAGGATTTTAATATCAAACACCAGTTGAAGAGTTTTTGGTTTTTGCATATAGAAACTAGAAAGAGTAAAGAAAGCAAAAACTTTTCCCTGGTTTTTAGGAGACTTTAAGAAAATCAAATTTCTAAAAAGTAGCTGGATTATTATAAGTATGTTTAGTTGTTTATTTAGTAACAAAATCCAAAAAGTCATAATAAACTACACCCATTCAAGATCATATCATGATTAGAAATGGCGAAGTCGTAAATCATGAAAACTCTGGATGGGATGAAATCCTTAAACAAAAAGTTGAAATAGTTATTTTACGGATTATACTAAATACTAATAATTAACAATGAAATGTTATATGTTGTTTAGGGTTATTGGGTGAGTGCAATAGCTGCTCGACCTTCATCAACCCACAAAGGGTATTTGCTTGGTGGACTCGTGTGGTTTGCTGTACCTTTCTCTCTAGCTACCTCGTTAGGTCTCGGCGCACTAGCCCTTGACTTGCCTATATCTAAGGATGAGGCTGACAGAGGTTTGGTTCCGCCTGCCACAGCCATTGCTCTCATGGGTAAATCAGGATCCTTGCTTCTTCTCACTATGCTGTTCATGTAAGTACACTCTCTCTAAATCATATATATATATATATATATAAATAAGTTTTTAGCACAAATGTTTGGGTATCTGATTTACTTTATTTAGTTCTTTCAATTGATTTTTAGGAATCATTTTTAACGCATCACTGGTTTAGTTTAACAAAATTTTGGTCTGATTTAGGTCGCTTAGTTTTTGGATCGGTTACAAAAATTTGTTACAAATAAGTTTTCGTTTTCAAAATTTTGTTCAGTAACCAACTAACTAGTCAATTTGATCCGGTTTGATTCAATTAATTCAATTCAGTTTGGTTCGTTTAGTTCAAATACGCATACCTACAAGCAAGAATCCCATTTTTACCCTAATCATAAGCCCTCTTTCTTTACGAGCAAGAAATTTTTTATAAGCTGTCTTGGTTTATTCTTAAACAATAAACCTAGCTAGTTAACATACAAAGATATATGCTTATTGCAAATCATGAGTTTAATTTACGGTCTTTGTTGATCCTTAGGGCTGTAACATCGGCTGGTTCTTCCGAGCTAATTGCAGTCTCATCGCTGTTCACATACGACATCTACCGAACATACATAAACCCTAGAGCAACCGGTAAACAAATCTTGAGAATCTCAAGATCCGCGGTTCTAGGATTTGGTTGTTTCATGGGGATTCTTGCAGTGGTCTAGAACAAAGTCTGGTGTTTCACTTGGATGGATGTATCTCGCATGGGAGTGCTCATTGGTTCTGCGGTCATTCCTATAGCTTTCATGCTCTTGTGGAGTAAAGCCAATGCCTTTGGTGCAATTCTTGGATCCACCTCGGGTTGTGTTCTTGGGATCATTACTTGGCTTTCTACCGCAAAGATACAGTACGGACGCGTTGATCTTGACAGCACTGGGAAAAATGGCCCCATGTTAGCTGGTAACCTCGTCGCAATTCTAGCAGGTCAGATTCTTATAGTTCAGTCAGTTCGGTTTAGCTTGACATAAATTATTTAGATTTTTATTATAATGGTTTAAAACATAAACAAAGACCTAATCTTGGTTTGTTTTGGTCCGTACGTGTAAATAATATATAGGAGGGTTGATCCATGCGGTGTGTAGTCTACTCCGGCCACAAAATTACGATTGGTCGACGACGAGGGAGATCAAAGTAGTGGAAGCTGATGCTTCAGGGGACGAAGAAGTTGATGTTCCGGCCGAAGAACTAAGAGAAGAGAAGCTTAGAAGAGCCAAAGCTTGGATTGTGAAATGGGGTCTTGTCTTCACTGTCCTCATTGTTATCATTTGGCCAGTTCTCTCTCTCCCAGCACGTAAGTCTTCCCATATAAATCGTTTTTTTTGGTTTTGTTTTTTTTTTTTGAATTTAAGTTAACCTTGTTCAAAAATTGGTTACTAACAAGAGAGCCTAAATCATGAACATCAATCAAAATTTTGATTTTTTTTGCATGCAGGTGTGTTTAGTAGAGGATATTTCTGGTTTTGGGCAATTGTGGCGGTAGCTTGGGGAACTATAGGATCCATTGTGATCATTGGTTTGCCATTGGTCGAAAGTTGGGACACGATCAAGAGTGTTTGTATGGGAATGTTCACAAACGATAGGGTAATGAACAAGCTTGATGACTTGAACCATAGGCTTCGAGCTTTAACCATGGCTGTACCAGAAGCTGAGAAGATTTATTTGCTTGAACTTGAGAAGACCAAGAAAACCGATGAAGAACGTTGAAGAAATATCATATTGGGTACACAAAAGGTTAATGATACTTTCTTTTTGTTTATATGCTTTGTTTGGTTGTCTTTTCTTGTTTGTGTGAATCATATCAAAGCTATCTCCGTTTGTATAATGTGTTCAACATCTTTGAAAAGTGTATGTATTATACAAACAACAGACTGTGAAACAATGGGGTTAGTTGGATAAGGATTTTGGTTCATTTGGTTTGGCTTTGTCATTTGTGTGATTAGTTGAAGCTATTGTTATAAAATCAAATTGTTTTTTTTCACCGGGAAGTTTTTATAACCAGAAAATTATTTCAACGTCCAATTAACGTCTAATTTTTTTGTTTAATTCAGTTGATTAGCTTTGGAACGTTTGACATAATTCGGTTTTGATTAGATACGGGTTTAAATTAACATACAGTAGTTTGGTTTGGTGTGCTTTCGTCGAACTCAATTCGGTCTGGTTCGCATACTAAAATAGGCCAGGGCCCAATAAACCGTAACTTGATTAAGTAGTCCAATTTAGAATAATAACCCGACCCGGAATTGACCCGGTTAAATTCCGGGTCGGGTCATTTTCTCGCGTGTTTCTTTCTTCTTCCGAAGGAGGAGTTTGTTTTTTTATCAAATCCACATTTTTCCCAAATTTCTCTATTCTTCTTTGCTTCAGCCATGGGAACCCTATCTCTCTCCTCTTCTCTAAAACCTTCTCTCGTTTCATCAAGACTCAATTCATCTTCCTCTGCATCTTCTTCTTCGTTTCCTAAACCAAACAATCTCTACCTCAAACCCACCAAACTCATTTCACCACCTCTCAGAACAACTTCTCCGTCGCCATTGAGATTCGCCAATGCTTCAATCGAGATGTCACAGACACAGGAATCAGCTATTCGCGGAGCTGAATCTGACGTCATGGGTCTTCTTCTTAGGGAACGAATCGTCTTTCTTGGTAGTAGTATCGACGATTTCGTCGCTGATGCTATCATGAGTCAATTGCTTCTTTTAGATGCTAAAGATCCTAAGAAAGATATCAAACTCTTTATCAATTCTCCTGGTGGTTCTCTCAGGTTAAATCTTGATTTCGTTTCTTTGTTTTCTCATCTGGGTTTGTGCGTTAATGGCTAAAGTTTCAGTCTTTTTGCAACTTAGGTCAGATTTTAGGGTTTTAGTTAGCATTGCAACGTAATTCAATTGAGTGAGAACTTTAAGTATAATACAAATGAAGTGAGTTCTCAGCTAAATTGCTGTGATAATCCATTGTCTAGTAATAGAACTGTAAGAGCTGAAGTCTCTCCTCAGCTATGTTACTTGTGGTTGACTATCAGTGATTCTTGTTGACTTGTTTGTATAATGATTGATTGGTTTTATATTATACTTCAGATGATCTAACTTAATGTTCTGATTGTTTGGTTTAGTGCAACCATGGCTATATACGATGTGGTTCAGCTTGTGAGAGCTGATGTTTCGACGATTGCTCTTGGCATTGCTGCATCAACAGCTTCGATAATTCTTGGTGCGGGAACTAAAGGCAAGCGCTTTGCTATGCCCAACACAAGGATAATGATTCATCAACCACTTGGAGGTGCGAGCGGTCAAGCTATAGATGTTGAGATTCAAGCTAAGGAGGTTATGCATAACAAGAACAATGTCACCAGCATTATCGCGGGATGTACTAGTCGATCGTTTGAGCAGGTTCTGAAAGATATTGATAGAGACCGGTACATGTCTCCTATTGAAGCGGTTGAGTATGGTTTGATAGATGGAGTTATTGATGGAGACAGCATTATTCCTCTCGAACCTGTTCCTGATAGAGTGAAACCGAGAGTAAACTACGAGGAGATTAGCAAGGATCCAATGAAATTCTTGACTCCCGAGATACCAGATGATGAGATTTACTAAAGGCAAGCTCATCTAGAACCAGGTGATTGTTCATACTGACTAAAAACTACGTTCTGGTTAATGTTTAGCCATGGATTCTTCATCTTTCGCTATATAGTGGTGAAACTTAAATAATGTTTGAATCTTCATTGTCAAGAAGATGAATGAACATCTAGAACTAGTTAGACTGCTGTGATTTTCATTAAAGAGTAATCTGACATCTCTTTCTCTTTTTTATCTACAGGGATCTTCCAATGTGACTAAGACTAGCGGTTTTGAGGAAAAAGCTCGATATCTTCTGCGGTTACTGGTGTTGGCTTTGCGAAACCGAAGCTGGTAGTACTTGCCTTTTGTAATCTCATATTTCACTTGTTCAGAAAATAATGTTCCTTGTATCACTCTGTTTTGAGGAAAATGACTTTAAGGTGTAGTAGATTTCATTAATGACAATCTCTGTTTAAGTGTTCTATGGATTCAAGAAGTATCAGCAGTATTTTTTTAGTATATATAACCAAAAAAACAATCTTAATAAGCTTTAGTTACAATTTAAATGTTGGTGATTTAGCTAATTAAGTTCTTCTTTGTAAGAAGAAGTATCAGTCCACAGATTTATTTCTTCTTCTTTTATGGATTCAAAGTTTGCAAAAGACTGTAAATTCTTAGATTTGGGCCCTATAATGGGCCTTTGACGTAGTCCTTGTCATTTGGACTCAAAATGAAACTTCTTTTTAATTGTAACGTTTAGTGGAGCTTAATCGTGGCCACTAAGTATTCCACGTCAGCAGTTGAAAAAGTGAAGCTTTCTCGGTAAGCTTAATATTATTAGTTCCGAAATTATTTCACCCTTTTGGTCCCCTAATTCTCATTTCTTTACAATTTATTTTCAAAATTTATAAACCCTACTTACTACCGGAAAAAGGGCCTATTTCCACCCCTACTATTTGGACGATTCCGTTTCCTACCCACACAACGAATTGGTGCTTATTTCAACAGTTTTCGTAACAAATTTCAAATTAACTACCCATACTCTGTGTTTATAGTTGAATTCAACATTTACTCAAACGGACGTTAGTCAACCGTTAAAATAGTAGAGTCGGTTGACACGGTGGCAATTCAAAAGAGGGAAAAGGTCCTATTTCCACCCTTACTATTTGAACGGTTCTTTTTCCTACCCACACAACGAATTGGTGTCCATTTCAACAGTTTTTGGAACAAATTTCAAATTAAGCAGAATATCGAGCTATGGGAATGCTCACTGCTGAGCTCTTGTGGATCAAAGGTTTGTTGACGGATCTTGGAGTTGTGATGACACGTCCAATGAGCGTGTTTTGTGATAGTCAAGCTGCGATCCATATTAGTGCTAATCCGGTATTCCTCGAGAGGACTAAACATGTTGAGGTTGATTGTCATATTGTGCGGGATGAGATTGTTAAGGGTACTATTTCAACGCAACATGTTTCGACTCATGCACAGCTGGCTGATATCTTCACCAAAGCTTTGGGACAGAAAGAGTTCAAAGATTTTCTCAGCAAGTTGGGTGTTCTTAATCTACACACTTCCAACTTGAGGGGGGGTAATAGAGCCGGATCAAACCCTTGATATCAGGCCTATGATTAGAATCGGATCAGGCCTTTGATTATGGGCTTTATTAGGTTTAATATTTATGTATTTAGGGTTAGTATTCCCTAACTAGTAAATATATGTATGTAGCCGTCTTATATCAATAACACAGATTTTCCAGCATCGTTTTGTGTAATTCTGACAACTTTATATTCAGGATTTTATTTAGGTTTCGGTTATAAAAGATAAATCTAGCAGCACTAAACATTAAACACATTCTACTAGAATGAAACACCAATAAAAATATCAACACCATCAAGTCTTTAGATATTCATCTCTTAATCCTTTATCAAAAAAAAAAAAAATGTCTTATATATAATTCGCAAAGATCTACTCTATATTCAGATTTAATATATAGTGACACTGAATTAATGATATATATTTAAAGCATAATTTAGATCTTGGTAAATTGGTAATTAGATCTCATATAACTTATATAGTTCATGGCTAATGTCAATTATTCAAGATAATTCAAAAACCTAGCAGATCAAAAACAGATCTGTATATATTTAAAGGAAATTTTCAACTTTACCATTTAAAAACAGAGCGGACTAATTATTATTTTTTGTTATTCCATAGCGGACCAAGATATGAATTAATTCACTCACTGTCAACTGATATTTTAGATGAAAATCTATGTAGGCATGTAGCTTTACATTTTTGAATGAGCTTCTCTTTTTTCAAAATTACTTTCATAACTATATAGGTGACTAAATTTATTTTATATCTAAATCATGGATATAAAGCCAACTACTGTTTTGTAGTTAATGCTAAATCCTCTTAAAATAATTTTGTCATCACAAATTTTAAATGGTTATTTTGAAATTTGTTCCAAAAACTGTTGAAATGGGCACCAATTCGTTGTGTGGGTAGGAAAAGGAACTGTTCAAATAGTAAGGGTGGAAATAAGACATTTTCCCTCTTTTGAATTGCCACCGTGTCATCCGACTCTACTATTTTAACGGTTGACTAACGTCCGTTTGAGTCAATGTTGAATTCAACTATAAACACAGAGTATGGGTAGTTAATTTGAAATTTGTTACGAAAACTGTTGAAATAAATACTAACTCGTTGTGTGGGTAGGAAACGGAACCGTCCAAATAGTAGAGGTGGAAATAGGTCCTTTTCCCACTTACTACCCATTAGAAATCTGCATACAAATTTTGAACATCACTCGCCAATTCGTATACAATTAAATTGGATAAAAGTCTAAACAGTGGTAGTCTAAAGTTTTCTCTCGGATCTTTTAGAGAGAGAAAACTTTGTTTCATCTCTTTTGTTTTTCCGATTAATATCGGAGATCTTCTGACTGTATGTCGGATTAGTTTTTGTTTTAGATTTTCCGGCTTCGTCCGGCTTTTGTCGGTTTAGTTTTCCGAACTTTGTTTCGGATTTATATCGTTTTGTTAAAGCCTTTTGCTCGTTCTTCACATCGAGGAAGTGTCAGAATCTGGGAGTTTTGACGGATCTGCTCTTGAATCTTCGTCCAATTGATGGTAATTTCCTCACTCTTCCAATTGGTGTTCTGGGTGATTGGGAAACCAAACACGAGATGGAATCTGTTGAAGATGAGACTTGTAGAGGCCTTTTCTTGGGCCTTTGGTATCACAAGATGTTGCCTTTCTGACTCTGAGTTACAGCCTCCTAAGCAGGGCCGGCCCATGGGTAAAGCCCATGAAGCAAGGGCTTTAGGCATCAAATAATTATAAATAGTTTTAGGAGCATCAATTTTTAAAATGTTACTGTGGTCTAGTGGTTAGATTGAAGTCTTTTGTTGTACATGTCACGGTTTCGAATCCCATATATGTTAAAACTTGTATTTTTTTTTTATAACAACTTTTGTTAATGGGCCAAAATTTTTTTTGCTTTAGGCACTCAAATAGTTTGGGCCGGCCCTGCTCCTAAGCTTCCTCATCTTTTCCTATTGAAGCTAGCTTGTTCTGATCGCACAGGGCTTCTATATGGTTAGTTTTAATCTGTTAGGTTCTTGATTCTCTGAGTTTCACCTAGTTGTGTATTTAAGGTTTAAAAAGACTGTCCTCTCTTTTGAACTTCAGCGACAGTGGCACAACACGAATCAATCACTATCTGAAATCGGCATATCAGATGCATACATGAATGAGACAATGCAAAGTATGTTGTTTCATACCCAATTACGACTGTACAAGACAAAACTAATCACTTATCGAAAGATTGGCTCTGAAAATGAAGTTGACTATGAGAGAATGAAGTGAAAGCTCCTTTACCTCAGTCCCTATTTTGAAGAGGAAAGATGGATCAGCCAACATTCTGCTGCGAAGCATAGACCATGATCTTATAGCAAAGCCAAGCAGCCCAGCTGAGCTCTAAAATCCAAGAAACCGAAACTCAAAACTCTTCTCTTAAAACTGTTAGTTCCAGAAAGAAAACAAAAACAAACGAAACAAAGAGAAGAACGTACCTGCAAATCCAAGTACCTAAGGAGAAGCAATTTGCGTATCCCAAAGGTCTTAGCAGCCTCTAACATATCAGATGGAAGCGTGGCTCCACGAGCTTCCGTCTCTCTCATGACCTCTTCAAATTTCAAAAGTGGTCCAGACTCTTTTTCTTCATAGTCTTCTTCACCATCACCTTCTCCTCCATTTCCACCTCCTCCTCCACCGTTGTTAAATCCACCATTACCGCCACTACCATCTACAACATTACCATCACTTTCAAATTCCTCCAGTACATCAGTTCCTAAGCTTCCAACATTGTCGCCTTTTCGCTAAGCTGCTACCACCTTCTTCTACTCCTTTCATTTGTTCAGTAGCGGCAACACTAGATTGCGGCTCAACGGGAGACTGAGACATATTAACCATCAAAAGCCTCGACCTTTGCTTACCCGAAACACCCTTAATCCGCAAAACAGGAACCTTCATTTCCTTAGCCAAATTTCTAAACACAAAGCCTCGATTGTAAATCCTCACCGAAGATATCTCGTTTCTCACTTTCACAACACTTGAAAACTGAAAATTCATTGCACATCCTGCCATTTTCGTCTTTTTCTAACACCTCAAACAAGGATAAGTCGACAAATAGTACTCTCCAATCAGATTCTAAAAGAGGAGAGTAACGACACTGGTGATAAATCAGCTAAGAAGCTATCCCCAACTAAAGACCGACCAATCAAAGATTCTTCCGAACAAGCTTCTGCAAGACAGCGAAAAAAATGTATAAAGCAGAATAGCTTTGTTCTTTTATCTAGAATCTAACAAAAGCCGAGATAATGAGGGGAAAACAAGAGACCAACGTATAAAGCAAATTTCAAAAATGGAAAATTTGGTGGATGAGGATGAAACCCTTACCTTGTATCTGACCAGAGAGAGGAGAAATGGACCCTGCGGAGTTGAAGAGTCAGAGAGTAGTGACTGCAAGAGTGATAGGCGCTTATTTTTCTTCGGCGCTTCACTGTGTATTTACTTCTCTTCATCCTTGGCACGTACGGTAACTTCCAAACACGTGTGTTACGAATAAGAATAACTAAAGTATGTAAAGCATAAGTACGAGACAAATATTTGACAAGTAAGAAGTATATAGGATCAGACATTAAGAATAAGTTCATTTGCATGCTAATGATGATCCTTGCATCTGAGCGCCTGAGCTTCTTCTATGTGATTGCAGATGTTTTAATCTTCTGCTCAGGATATCGATATATGTTCTGAGCGATACCTGTCTGAGTTTGTGAGAGACAATGGCGGATTCAGAATCAGCATTGGTGCTTCTACTAGAAGGAATACCAGCAAACGCACCGCTTTCGAATATTGGTTTCCTGCGTTCTCTATGTCTCCCATAACCTCCTTAACCTGCAAAAAAGCCACTAATTGATTATTCTCTTCTTTAGATTTGAATTGTTTTATCAAGTTTTTTGGGGGAAAGGCAAAAGAAAACTTACTCCCCCAAGTTTTCCAAGATCGAGGGCTGCTTCAAATAGCGTCTCCATAGCATCAGGCATCATTGTATTGCCTACAGCCAAGTTGATTAAGATCTTGACTACCACAAAAACAGAGCAGAAGAGTTTTCTTTTTTGCCAAGAGAAAAACATACCTGGTTCGATACTCTTTGGAAAGTTCTTCAGAAACCTCAGTCTCCCGGATAAACTGCCTCTGAATCTGAGAGGATATCTCCTCTAATCCATCATGGCTGACATCAGTGATACGCTCGTGTTTCCGGCAGCTACTTCCTCTTAGTTTGTTAATGTCTTGAGTTGGGCTTCCTTCCAAACCTGAGATTGCCTGAGTATGGCATATGTGCAGTGCCTGTTTCCAAATAGCCAGAATCGCCAGTTGGATCGAGAAAGCTTCTAGGTGTTTGTCAGATTTTATCTACGCAAAGACACATGAAAAGAAATTGCTCAGAAACTCATGTTGTCTGGCCATGGCACGGTGATAACCACATAAACAATGTAAAGTTTGGTAACCCTTTCATGAACTAATTCTGCAATTGTTGCTGCACACTTTTTCAGAGAACTGATTCTTGTCAAGCTGTTAGTTGATGGCTGTTCAAAAGCATCCCCAAGATCCAGCGACCCATGAGAAGTGCTCGGAGCAGAGTTCTGACTGTCCAGGGCCTCCAAACCGGCCAATGTTGTTGCCAGTAGCACCAATTATTTGCATGCGAGCTGTTCAACTTATGCTTCTGTTGAATAACTCTACAGGAGGAGACGGGGACTTGAATGGAAAATTATAAGCCTTGGAGGAACTCGATGACGATGATGGCAAATCCACTGGTGGTCCAGAAACGAGAACGTAGTCTTGATCCATGGAATCTTGAGAATCATCTACTGTAGAACTAACATATATGAGAAACGGAACAAGATAGCTTTGCCATTTTCTAGGGCGTAGTAAATAGAAGATAATCAACGCACCTCTTCCTTTAGGAATCAGTCAGTCTTGTATGTTCGCCATGGTTTCTCCTATCAGAATTTATGTGAGTTTCATTTCTAAATCTATTGTTTTCCACTCCCTGGTTGACTCTACTATATCTGGAAGTAAGTTCTGTAAAAGGCGTTCTGCCTGTGACCAGTTGAGATAAGATAGCACCAACACTCCAGAGATCTGCCTGTGTTTTAAGATAGATTGTAAAGAGACTATGCTAAGAGAAAAGGTATAGGTAGATAAGTAAGAGAAAGGTCCTCACCTTTGCATCATACTTGTGAAGTTGCATAATCTCTGGGGCCATATACAATGGTGAACCAAATAATGTTTCTGCAAGCCCCCTAGGTTGCGACGACCTGCATTACAAAAAGTGTGATGTTCAAAATCAAATGCAAATTAAAAAGTCTGAAGAGTGGGGGGAATCCCCAAGAAGAAAGAATGAAATTACCTAGCAGCTCGAGCCCATTCGAGACCTTCTCTAATTCACTCATATTACACTCTTTGATCTAGTAACAGGGGGAGCTGATGACAATACCTTGCAAATCCAAAATCAGCAATCTTCAGATCTGCATCATTTTCATCTGTGGATAGAAGAAGATTCTGTGTCAAGAACGAAAGAAGCGTAGAAATTAAATTTCAACAAAGATGGAATCTCTCTCTCTATCTCTACTTAGGAAAGGAAACACATAAAAAGCATATTCCAATGAAAAAAGAAGAAACATGTTTTACCAACGAGCTCACATACTTAATAACAACAAAAACACATTGTGCACAGAAGATCACTGAAAGGAATGAGAACCAGACACACCTGACTCAGAACTGGTAAGCCAGCCGTTGTAACATAAAAAAAAAGAAAAAAGAAAAAACCCTCAGCGAGTACATGTCCTAGAACTTACCTAACTGCAGCATGAAATGCTTAGCAGTAGCTTCCATGACTCTGAATATACACAGAGAGATCACCTCCTTTACAAAACTCCAACACCAAATGTATCTTCCCAGGAGACTAAGACTAACATCAACGAGACATTCAACAAACGTCAAAGCTCAATTTTGAGAATGCAGCGAAGCAAAAAAAAAAAATCAATCCTTTAAGCTTTTGAAGCTAAAAGGATTGAACTTGGGATGTTTAAATGAGTAAACCTCGATCATGTCGAGCAAACGGATGATGTTGGGATGATTGATCCTCCTGAGGATGAAAATCTCAGACATGAGACTATCCTGCAACTTCTTGTTAAGCCTGCCCATAGCGATCGACCTGTGTCCCGTGAACACGGTGCCTAGCCTCCCAAACCACAGAGAAAGAACCCGATCCGAATTAAGCTGAGACAAGTCGGCCAAGTATAATTGAATTGAATCTTATTTGGAATTTTCAACGAGAGGAGAAAAAGATTAATGGGAATTAAATGTAAGTTTATTCTGGGAATCTTCGTTGCATTGCCGTTTATTTGGTTTATAACTATTATAAGATCGGGAAATTATTTTATTTTTTTGGTAGGAAGATCGGGAAATTATTATTATTTTTTTTTTTATTTTTATTTTTTTTTTTTGTCAACCACACATTAATTAATAAATAATTCCTTGATTGGTTGCCCAATTAGGAGGAGTAGAGTTTACAAAAGTAACTTCAGAAAATAAAAGTCTAGAAGAACGGGCTAAGCAGTCCGCTTGAACATTACATAAACGAGAAATAAGAGAAAGCGAGAAGAAAGGGAAAGAGAGACGGAGAAAACCAAACTCGTCTAGAAGACTGGAGAAAGCAGGCCATTCATCCGGTGAGTGTATCATCGAGACTAACTCCGAGCAGTCTGATTCAAACACCTGACAATCGATCCCTCTTGAAAGGATATTCTTCATAGCCCAAATTAAAGCTTCCATCTCCGAGTGAAGAGGGGAGGGACACCTCCGAAGGCACTTTGCACCGAGCAGTATCGTTTGATCATTTCCTTGAAAACACCACCATCCTATACCCATTGTTGGATCTGAATTTTTCCAAGAACCATCAATCCGACATCTTATAGATTGAACCGGTCGTTCCAAAGTTTCCGTAGTAGAACTAGTTTTGATCGGATCCAACTGAGCTTCTTCCCACATTAATTTTTCACTCAAAGCATGATTTAAAATATCTCTGGGTTCAGATTGTAATCCCTTGAAAACCTTTTTATTCCTATCTTTCCAGATGAACCACAAAATCCAAGCATAACTGAAAGTTTTCTCTCCCCCATCTAGATTAGATGGTAACCTCCAATAAAGATAATCTAGATTTGAGAATTCCGAGGTTAGAGGAAAACTACCTATTGCCGTAGGTATATCTGATAATTCCCATATTTTCTGAGAATGAGTGCACTCAAATAAAGCATGATTTATTGTTTCCTCTGCCATCTCACATCTTTTACAGATAAAGTCACATTGGATCCCTCGATATGCTAATTTTGAAGTAACTGCTAGAGATCCCGTAGCAATTTGCCATAAGAAATGTTTTAGTTTTGGAGGGGCTTTGACTTTCCAAGCTTGTGCTTGTAAATTCTTATAATTCGGGCCCCATTCGATCGTTTCTGTCATCTCTCTAGCAACCCGATAGCCTGATTTTACTGTATATCTTCCCGATCTTGTATGATGCCAGATAAGCCTATCTGGCTTATAAACTTTGCTAATAGCCAATCCCCTAATAAACTGAATATCCACTGGATCCAAAAATTCTTGTAAAATAGGAAGATGCCATTCTTTAGTAACCGGATTAATTAAATGGTTAACCATCAAACTTGGAAGTAATGTTTTTCCTCTTCCATTTGCGGGCCGTGGGTTAACATCAGGAATCCAAGGATCTCGCCATACCGATAGATTGAAACCCGATCCTAGTGACCATCTAGCTCCCACTTCAACTAATCTTTTAGTAGAAAAAATACTCTTCCATCCAAATGATGGAGAGTTTGGTTTTTTTGCCTGTAAAGGATGAATATTCCTGAAATATCTGCTTTGTAGCACCCGAGCTACTAAAGAGTTCGGATATTGGATTAAACGCCAATATTGTTTAGCCAACATGGCATCATTAAAAATGTTTAGGGAATGAAAGCCTAAACCTCCTTCTTCTTTATCCTTACACATTTTTTCCCATGCTATCCAATGGATCCCACGATCTCTCCCATTGGAACTCCACCAATAATTAGAAATAGCACTTGTTAACTTAGAAGTTAACTCTTGAGGTAGTTTAAAACAAGACATAACATAGGTTGGTAGTGCCAAAGCCACTGATTTGATCATTGTTTCTGATCGGGAAATTATTTAATTACTGTATTGATTTAATGTTATTGTTTGTTAAGATTACGGCTTAGTGGGAAAATGATCATTGTTATGGGAGAATTACAGTACTGTATGTGGTTTTGAGATTCCCTAATTTGATTGGTTTCATGTTTTTTTTTTCTTTATTAAACGAGAGTACAAAAACCTTTGAAAACCTTTGAATCAAAGTCTAAGTCATACAAACTTAACACGTTATTTGTCTGCAGGAAAACCTCAGCCAGAAACTATATTATACACATACATATCTAGGGTAAACTAGATTTAGCGATTTTGCTTAAGATGGAAAATTTTGTAAAAATCATGATCATCCTCGTAGCTTGTGCTATGTTTTATTGTAATGTTTATTATGGCCTTGTCTATGCTAAAAGGCAAAAGCAGCGGTGGCCATGTAACTTTTTGGAGTTACGGTGGTGGTGGTGGTGGAGGTTTTACCGGTGGTGGTGATGGTGGAGGCGGATGTTTTAGACTTTTAGTTTCCTATCACATTTTCAAAAGTTTTTGTTTGGAAAATTCCTAGTTTTGAGCATAGAAAATTTTAAGCATATAATCAATTTGTTGATTTTTTATGTACGTATACTAGGTGATTACAATACTTTTGAATACTTTTGTTTTTATACTACTTAATTTGATTTGATATTATTATGCATTTATCTTTAAATACCATTAATTTCATAATTTGTATGCATGGGATCTTATTATATCATTAATACCTACTTTATTTTTATAATTCATTTGATATTATTATGTATTTATCTTTGAATACCATTACGTAATTTGTTAATAAACTAGGATATGACCCGCGGTACACCGCGGGTTAATTATTTGATTTTTTTTTAATCTTTTTATACTGATGAAATAGATAATTGTAACTAAAAAATAGAAATTTAATTTGTATTTGTTTTGTTTAGTGTTTAAAATTATATAATTATATTTTAATTTGAAAATCCTAGGATTTCACCCGTGATATATATTGTCCCGTATTAATATCAATCCAAATCCGTCCCACCATCTAATATCATCCCATAAAATTAATCATCATTTTTTATTATTTTTTTAATAACACTTTTTAAAAAAGATATATAATTCGAATCAATTTAAAATTCTACTTTCAAATGGTTTTTATAATATATATATATATATATTTTAAAATTAATGTGTGTTTCTGGACCAACACATTAAAATAATTTATAATTGTATCTTAAAATACTAAATAATTATATTTTGATTTGTTAATTTTAGGATTTCACCCGTGGTATATTGTCCCGTTTTGGATAATTGTAGAAATTAAGGAAATATCCGAATGACTCAATTCCGAGTCAGAGTAAAAAAAACGACCTGATTAAACGCGTAAATTTGTTCTTCAAAACTATTAATATAGATTGTACACATACTTTTTTTCTTTATCGATTGAGTAATATATGTCCGTTTAAAAAATTTTGAATCACAGCATATGCAGAAAAAATCGAAAATTTTAATAATGGAATATATATTACAATAGTTCAAAATAATATATATATATATATAAGATAATATAAAAGTGAAATGAGAAACATATATTTATGTTTAAATTAGGTAGAGACTTTTTAGGAAATTAGCTCAAATTTGTTATATTAGCATTAAATCATCATATTTGATTTCCTTATTTATTAAAATCGTAGACAATATGCCAGAAATAAAAAGTTTAGATATATTAATTATTTGAGAAAATATATATATATATATATATATATATATATATTTTTTATTAATTAATTTCATTTTTAAATTTTACCAAAATTTAAGGAAAGATCCGATTGAAAATTTTCAGGTCAAAATCAGAAAAAAAAAACCCGACCCGATTGTATTCCTTAAAATGTACTTTAAAAATTTTAAGTAGATTTTTTTCTTCATCGATTGAGTAATATATGTCCGTTTTTAAAATTTTGAATCATAGCATATGCAGAAAAAAAATCTAAAGTTTTATTAACTATATATTTTTTATAATATAAATATAAGATCAAATAAAAGTAAAATGAGAATCATATATTTATGTTTAAATTAGGTAGAGATTTTTTAGGAAATTATCTCAAATTTGTTATATTAGCATCAAATCATCATATTTGATTTCCTTATCTATAAAAATCGTGGAGAATATACCATAAATAAAGCGTTTAAATATAGTAATAGTTGAGAAAGTATATATATTTTAGATTTTATTAATTATTTTCGTTTTTTAATTTTGCCAAAATTTAAGGAAAGATCCGATTGAAGATTTCCGGGTCAAAATTAAATAAATTTGACCCGATTTGGGTACCCCAAAAACTGCTGCAAAAATGTATAGTAGATTTTGTTAGAATATTTATCTTTCCAATTAAATGTGCTTCATCTTGTTATCTTTAAATACCAACTATACAAGCATCCGTTATATAGTTGGTTTCAGCAAGTGGAGTGTTTTTTTTTTTTTATTTAAATCCTTATTCCTTCTATTAAAATTATTTTTTTTGATAAAATATTTTCTGAAAATAAATTCTATTAAAATTATTAAGTAGGAAAATACTTTCATAATCGTGAATCGATCAATATAGAGAAACTATATGCAAAATTACACGTACGTAAATCATAATTCAGTTTTAAGCTTTTTGAGGTGCCAAACAATCAAAAGTATGAAGTTCAAAATTTTTAATGTCGTAAATGTCCAATTTCATTAACTGGAAGCCTTGCTTCCTCTGTTGGGTATTGGAATAGGACGAAAGCGATTACATTCTCTGAAAAACATTTGTTATAAGCCTCTCCACATGCACATAGTGTCCCGAGGCTTGAGAGTAATCCCTAATAAGTAATATGGATCAGTATATAACTCTCGATACCAGGCATGCGCACACAAATTTGCCTCGGTTAGGAACAAGTAAACCTGTATATTGAAAATCATGCATGTAATTTTGCAGCAAATGTCTGAACGACTGAACCCATCATCTAGCTTTCATAAAGTATTAGATAGCTAGCAAATTATGATCACGACTGCACTCTTTTTTTTTTTTTTTGCCTAAAATATTTTATAATGCTTCCCAACTTATGAACTGGTTCCAAGTAGCTTTTTAGATCCTTGTGTGTGGTCACACAAAATTTTAGATCCCTACTTGACTAAAAACAATTTAGCTAGCTTATAATCATTTATCCTACCATAGAAGAAAAAGTTATATTATAGATTTAGTTAAAGACAAACCAACTCCATTTTACCAAAATCATAATTTAAATTAGTAACAAATTAAATTAAAATATGTAAAAATGTGACATTGTGATCAGAGAAGAAAGTGAGATATTAAACCAAATTTTCACGAAGATAGTTTGTGTTTGCAGTTTCGACAGAAGGCACGCGTTTTGACTGAACACCGCTCCTTCACTTGCCTTGTAATTTGGCAGCGCCAATACCAAAATCTTCCTTACATGATGGGTTATGCTTTGGCGTTTCTTGATTATACATATATATACATGTTGGCACGGGCGGACCCATTCAGGGGAAAGGAGGGTCAAGTGACCTGGGTAAAATAATTATATTTGTGTTTATGTATAAGAGTACTTAAAAAACAACCAGCAGATTTGGTAATTGCATGCCTATTGACACCCCAGTAACCATGTTCGATTCCCCAGTTTGACACCTTTTGATAATTTATTTCTTTTATTTTGGTCGAAAAGTAGTGAAAACCACAATTAATATTTTTTCCAGATTCATTGTACTTGATTAATATTATTATGCGATATACTAAATAATATAGTTTCATATTTATATATGACCTGGGTAAATATTTTTTCTGGGTCCGCCATTGGATGTTGGTATTAACCCCTCCATCTGCCTCTTTCTCGTATACAAAGACACCAAGAACACTGAAATGTATCAAATACGTTATATGAACTTGGTAAAATTTGCAGTAAATTTGTGTGCTTAATTTACATACGTTTCATCTTAATTCTTGTGAACATTCAACCTATTGATCAAGTTGATCTCCCTCATTAATTAACAGCTTGGTATTTAAAAGGCTAACATCAAATTTTACCTTATAGAGGCAGTTCAAGGTGCCACATTACTGCCATGGAGAGGAGAGAATCCCATTGTCATTCTTGTGGCTTCCACTCTTGAACATTCAAATAACCAAATTTAAAATCCATTAACTAGCTATTTTTTCTTCTTTCGAATTGACTAGCTATTAAGAATGTCGTCTCCAATGAGCTTCCCTTATTCGTCTACTCTTAACGCCTCCGTACTCATTGGATTGCGCGGAAGCAGTAAACGACGTCATGGATCTCCAATAGCTTCTCCTCTTTTGGCCGTCCACGCAAGTGTACTCTTCTTCAGCCATCACCACATCGGCTGCGTTCGGCTCTTTTATTATGTAATAGATTATTTTGTAGTTCTTGTGAAGTTGGTTTGATGTCTTATTTTATATACATGTGACCAAGATCATGTTATCCTTTTTGATTTTTTTTTTTTTTTGAATCATTGTTATCCTTCTTGACATAATTAATGGTCATATCATACTATTAATGATGTACTTTGGATGGATTTTTAATACTAATGTCACTGTTAAGATTAGTGGGAAATGAGAATTGATCATGATATTGTTTATAGTTGCTTTATGTTTTGTACGAAAGTGATCGATTTAAAGAATGATAATTAAGGTTCTCTTAAATCTTGGAGTTTCTACAAATGATAATTAGAAACATTTCTGAATATTTCGTTGTTGTGGAAAAAACAAAAAGGATAATTCGAAACTTTTAAACTTATCATTCTCTCTGTATTTTCCATCATCCACAATAATAAAAATATATTGATAACCAAAGTTATCACAATTATATATCATTTTGTTGGTGAACTGTTGAAGAGCTTCAGCGCAAGCGTGTATCAATGAAATAGAACGAGCATATAACGTCGATATATGAATGGTAAAAGAAACATCAATTTTTACGCGTGATTGTCTTTTGATATAATATAAGAGTAAAAACTATAATCCATAAAAAAATTTACGAAAACCAAATTATTTGGGTTCCAATTCGAGAGAATAGTTTGAGTTTAGTTTACAAAACCATTTCCAGCACAAAATCAACCGTGCCAAACGATTCTTGGTACGTACTCTAGAACTCCGGCCTTTTACTGCCATGCAAACCTTAGAAATAAGAATCCAAACTAATGCCGATTTCAGCTCAAATCGAAAAGATTTCACTGTCCGAATAATTTTATAAACAATTCAGTCAGCAGCATACATTTGATTTCTAGATTAAGACTAACATATTGACTAAACAGAATAACCACTGTTTTTTTTTTGTTAATTTATATGTAGACGGGACAAAAACTGAAATGTGCTTACGTGCGTGCACGTTCCTGCTCATGTTTTGATCTGGTCATGACTCTGTTACGCCGGTCGAATGTATAAACCAATTGAAATTCAGTTGACCGAGTCAAACCAACTAAGTCAAAGTTCCAAGAGATCTAGCACTAAAGCTAGGACCATCTTTAATTATACGCAACATATTACAATAACTTGCATCTAAAGTTCCTGATAATGGATTCAGAATCCAATATAATTAGGGGTAGCAGACAGCGAAGATAAGATTTCGAAAACGGAGGACCAGTAAAGTAACGTAAGAAACAAGTTGCAGTAGTACTAATAACTTGATAGCAATGATCAGTCTCTCATCTCACCGTCCCAAAGTTGTTCAGGAGTCTTTATAAGGACTCGTCTCATGAACAAATGACATGCCTCTCACCGACCTTCCCTGCAGCATTGAAACACAAATCTTTCAACATTAGATAACCCTGAGCCTAGGAGCAAAACAGAGAGAAAGCTTTTTTGACCTATTTGGAATGTAATCCACTTGCCTGTTCATCTCAGAAAACTTGGATAACATGTCATCGGGTATGAAAACATCAAAATTCTGTTTGATCGTGTCTTCATGTGTGCTTTCTGGAAGAACACTTTGCCCCTTTTGGAGACCCCAACGTAATGCAACTTGCGCAGGAGTCCTCTCAGCAACCGAGCCTAGAATGGGGCTCTTGAGCCACGTTGTCCCTGGACAACCCAACGGAGAGTATCCCTACAACAGAAGAAACATCAACTAATGTTTAAAATTTCCAACATCTTTTGTCAGTTTTCCGAAAAAGGATATGGACATGGGTGTTCTACATACAGAGAGGTGAACGAGTGCTTCAGTTTGTTGCCACGATGGGTGACACTCCACCTGGTTAACAGCAGGAGGGACGCGAGCCACCTCCAAGAGCTTTGCGAGTCTCTTTGTTGAGAAATTGATGACACCAATAGCTCGGGCCTTTCGCACATCAACGAGTGCTTCCATTTCTTTCCATGTGCTAGGAGTATCAGTTGGCAAATTGTTCTCTGGCTTAAAACCAGTTGAACCTTCCTTGAGGCTAACAGGCCAGTCAATCTTCAAAAAGGTCACAAAAACTATTGGTCAGTCAAAAATGGTCCACAAAACGGCGCAAGATGTCACTTGAAAGAAAATTAGATGTTCGACCAATATCTGACACTAGTCCTAAGATTCATAAATCTTAACAGATGCAGTAACATACACGTAAAATAAAACACAACCCAAAGTTCAAAAAACCAATATGGATCACTGCAAGTTATCTTGAAAAGAAGTACACATGGATAATTCCTCAAGACAAGGTTTCCTAATATGTTACTTACGAGATACAAATCGACATAGTCAAGCTGTAGATCCTGTAGAGTTCTGTTCAGAGCATCTGGCACATCTTGAGGATTATGAGAAGTACAGCTTTTCATATAAAGCAGGTGACAAGGTTAGAAGCTACATAGACTTGACAACTAATCACCGAAAAAGAAAGGATATAATCTATAAGGTAACTAAAGAACAGTGATGTAGAATACCAGAGTTTGGATGTGATGAAGATTTCCTCACGCTTAACAACTCCATCATCAAACAGTTTCTTCAGGACTAACCCAATCTGCAGGAGTAAGAAGTTGTCAATGGCCAATAGAGACAGGTGGGTTCAGTCAATTATTTTAAATTAATCATTGTTGATTAATGACAAAAACACATACAGAGAACCACGGACCTATCAATTTCTATATTCAAAACAATAGCACAGTTTGCAAACAACAGACATCAAGTCGATAGAAAAACATTAAAAATAAAAAAAAATTTGGTCATCAAAACGGAGAGATACAGAACAGTGGGAAAGCATCTATAAATAAAATTAAAACTTGAGGACAAAAATGTGATGGAAATGCCCATATCCACATTTTACCAAAGATTAAAACGAGTAAAATTAGTAGTATGTGATCAAACAAGGCAACCAAAGATGAGCAGTTTTCTAGCAACTCATTGTAATATACAGCACAAATCATAAGAAAGATCATAACTTTTTGCTTTAAAATCTATGTAAATCAAACTGGCCTACGCAAGTATTGAAATTCAACTCTGGAAATGAACCAATACAGCTTAACCCATAACTTCCAATACATATTCTAAGGAACAGAACCATAATCCAAAACGAAATATACAAATTCAATGAAACTAAAGATGAGTTTGGCTAACCTCCTTTTCGTTGCCATAGATTTGAGCACAATCAATGTGCCTATAACCAATCTGCACAGTAAGAGAATTCCTCAGTCTTGTTCCGTTAAAAAGTGTAAAAGCAATTTAGGTCAAAGTAGAAATCAGTAATACAGACTTGGCCGTAAATCTTAAGACTCTATGATCAAGTGACCACAAAGCCGCGAAAATCACACAGACGAACCTTAACAGCGGCTTCGACAGCGTTTCCTACAAGACCAGGATCAGCCTGCCACGTTCCGAGACCAACAGATGGTATCATGGCTCCGGTGTTGAGCTTGAAGAATCTGATTTCGTCTGCGAGAGTGTCATCTACCAGTAAGCCAGAATTCACGTATAACAGAATTTTGTCTTGGACAACTCGTACGGCTTCTGCTAAGACTTTTTCAGCATCCCCTGAAATGTCCGGGTCTGTTATAAGGACTTTAGTCACAGCTTTGAACCACGCAAATATCAAAAGGGTCTCTGTCATAACGCAAGAGAAGCCACAATCGAGGAGACGCTGCAGAAGCGCCCAAAGAGTTTCCTGGCTCAGCTGAAATGACTCAGGCTCCAATAGTTGATTTGGTTGAACCTGAAGTTTTGACAAACAAAGTGTTGTGATCAGGTTATAAGATACTAAGATGAATAATTCAAACAAATTTTTTACCTTAGACAATAACCAGTACAGTGAAGCATCATCATCATCAATCTCTAGAGCCATAGTGAAGCACCGTTCGTAACCTCCCTCAACTAACAACAAAGCCTGCAATAAAACTTAACAACAACTCAGAAAACAGTCTGAGATCAACCATATTAAACATCAGATATTGATTTTACCATTTCTTTAGTCACATCCATCGAGGGACTTTTTTGGGAGGTCTTGGCCGAATCACTAATCTTGACGCTTTCCTGTAAAAGCATGTAATCTTAGATTTTAGATTTCTTGTATAGTCCTAAAGTATTAAAAAGGGAACCAAATGAATCTAGAATTTACCTGGACAGATGTCTGAAGTTTATTTATAGCTCTTTTAAGCTTTGAAATGACAGCTTTTTCAAATAAGGTGACAGCTTCGTCACTGCGAGAAGTTAAAGTTCCTTGAATGTTAGTGACCACTTGACTTGATATGTCACTGCCAACATTTTGGAGTTTTCTTCTTAAATCTCTCTGAACAGATGATAGTTCCTCCTTAGTTGCAGTCTTCCTTTGCAATCCCATTAGAGTGTCCACCATCTCCCTCTGAGATGAAATAGCTTCACCCATCCTCGTCTTAGAAGTGAAAAGCTGCCTCAAAATTTGAGGAAGATCTTGACGCTTTGCCTGATCATCTTGAAGACATTCAAGAGTCTTTTGATCAACAAGACCAGTTTCGTCAGTCTTCTGATGATCATCTTGAAGAAGACTTTCCTCAGTATCATCTTGAAGAAGACTTTCCTCAGTCTTCTGATCTTCAAGCTGTTTTTTCTTCTTTCTTTGTAAAGAACGCACCAACGACAGCTGATCATAAGCATCTCCGCCTTTCTTCCTAGTATAGTGTTCATATAGGTTTACGGTTGTTTGCCGATTCTGAGAAAACTTGGCACTAAGACACTCGTGCAGTTCAGACAAAGATAAGCAGTTTTCGAAGCATTCTTTAGCTGCAAGAACCACAGGTTGCATCTCTTTCATCTCTTTGTTTCGTTTCTTCAACCGATTTTCAAAATCATGATTAATGTGTTGAAAGAACTTATTAAATTTTGATTTTAGTGAATCCTGTAACAGTATCAGAATCAATTAATCAAAGACAAAAAAAAAAATAAAGCACAACAAAAACAAGTGACATACCATCATTTTGTCAATGGCTTTATCGATTTTGACAGCCACATCATCATCTGAAAAACGGATTCCGTCAAGGAGCTCCTTGTTGCCGACGAAAAGACAATCCCCCCAGAAGTCAGCATCACTGTTGTTTCCGACCAGCAGAGAATTCCAGATGTTAGCCGCTTTCAGTCTATCCACATCTTCCTGGCGTATATCGTAGTTGAGTACTGGCAAAAAGAATAACAAGCAACAGATCAAGATATATATATATAGCAGAAATTTATACTTTAAAATCATTAGAGATTCCTTACATTTATCAATCGATAAGAACTTTCCCTCAAGAACGCTCGCCTCTTCGGAACCCACTAAGAGAAACATCAAAAATCGACAAGAGAATCAGAATTGAAGGCAAAAATCAAAAAAAAATAAGAAGAAAACGGAAGAATCATGATCGTGATCAACTTACTGGTTTTCCAGGTTAATCGGTGGGGCTTTGTGGCTCTTCGTTCCCTCTTTCGCAATGAGAAGAAAAGAAGAAGAAGAAGAAAATAAAATTGACAATGAGAGTAGCAAAACCCTAAACCCTAAAAAATCTTTATTTCCTCCAATCCAAAACGCAAAGTTTTATTTAATCCAGAAAAAATATCTTAAAAGGCTTATAATTATATAAGGTTTGTTAGAAAATATAAATGATTATCCATTAAGGATACTTATCTATATAACACTTGTCCTCCAAGCAATTAGAATTGCTTTTTCTCCAAGTCTTTATAAATTAATCTTATGTATAGTTTATCTATTATTACTAGTCCCCTATATATATGTGACCTCGAAGAGAAGAAGGGAGAGGAAATAAAGAAGAGTGAGTTGAGAGAGAAAGTCAATAAAGAGTAAAGTGTGTTCTCTCGTTCACTTCCCTCTCCCTCTCTTAATTATTTCTTTACAGCCACACATATATAATATAATAATATTATATTTATTTACGTTATGTTTTATATCAAGGTTAAGATTGTTTCGAGAATTGTTGTGGGATAATAAACTGGTAAAGACAGAAGCTACATGATTAAGAGGCTGCCGGTTCGAATCCTATGAGATGGGATTTTTTGTATTTTTTTGAAACGCAAGAAAAATCAAAACGACGTCGTTAATGTCACATGATTTTGGTCTTTGGGTAAAAGTGTATACTGAATTAGTTCAACAGTTTTAAACCACTTAAGTTTTAAATTGAACATTTTACACCTGTGGATGTCGGAATCCGCAATGCAAGTTTTATGATGTATATCGGATCGTCTAGTCTAGCTAATTCGAACAACAATCTTGAAAAGAAAACAAGAGAGTCAAGTGTGTATATTTGTTTACTGATCAAGCCGAAAAAAGTCCCCCATTACAATGGTTTTTGTCTCCTATTTATAATTACATGATTTGAAACCGAAATCGCTCGTCAAGCCGCAGATCTCGCCTCCATTATTGCTTCCGTTTCGAATCTTCCCGATCTCGCACATCCCGTACAATCCGCCTTTCATTTAACTCGCGAGATCTCGCCGTTTTACTCGAAATGGGCTTGAACTTATTGGGCCGCTCTTTTCGTCCCCTGGACCGGGCCGACGGCCCATTTCGTCTCACTGATCCACTATCTTTCCGGGCCGGATCCGAACTGCGGGATCCGACACCAACAGTTTGCCCCCCAAGTGTTCCGAAGTATTAACTTCGGGATACTTTAAATAACAAACTCTTCTCGGGCTCGGAAATTTCGTCATTAATTCCGCTTTCTCCGGGATTTGGTTCCTCGACCGAAGTGACGTTTCGAGATCTTTAGGATATAAATTTTCCCGCGGATCGAGGGATTCTTCTCGGGGTGAGGGCGGCGTTTCGAGTTCCTAGGGCTTCCATATTCCCGCCAGAGATTCCTATTAATACTTGATTGGACTCTTCGGGTTCTGCACAACCGCTTCAAGCTCGCTCACCTTCGTCGTCTGCTTATTTAAGGTACTGAACCTTCTCCTCTTTTTCTCTTAACACTCTTCCGATTACGCTTTAGTTCTTGCTACTTAGTTCCGGATTCGTGTTAGTTCACCGCTCTAGATTAGTTCCGTGCTAGATTTAGGCCAGAGATCTAAAAGATTTCTTAGATTTTCAGCCCTCTGCTCCGAAATTGTTCGCTGTTCTTCAACTCCTCCGCCGTGTTCTTGATATTCCGTTGAATCGCAACCGTTTTCCGAAGAACATCAACCGCTTAGTCTTTCCGGTTTCTGGGTTTTCACGAAGATCTTCGAAGTTTGCTCAAGCGTGTTCTTGAGATATCTTCCCAAATCCCTGGCGCCAGATCTTGTTTCGTCTCTACATCTTCTCTAATTACGTTATGGCTCCGAAGCGAA